ATATGTTAAAAAATATTATTTTAATAACAAATTATGATTGTAATCCTATTATATGAAAATCAATATAATGTTATGTGAGATAAAAATTGTGTAAATCAGCTAATATATTGTGGACAACATAAGTAGGGAGGCAAAGGGGAGAGGAAGGATGTTATTTCACATAGGGATCTAAAGTCATCAAACCATGAACCCTCCCAATGCTTTAATACATACCATTCTATTTTGCATCCTTCCCACTCTGTATATCTAAACATGCTCCACCTTTCATTATACATGACAAGTATATTGTCAATCTTAAGCAGAACTTAAGATTTCTTCTTTCTTCTTCAAGAAAAATGGCCTCAGGAACCCATGAGCAAGGGCTTTCTCAACCAGTACTGCTCAAACCTCTGCCTTGCATACTCCATGTAGTCAAAGTCTATCTTGTTTACATGAGCCTGTGAAAATCAGTTCCAGAATTAGTCCATCATGCCAGAGTCTAAAGCAACATAAATACAAGTTCTGGGAAATAAGTGCATACTGAAATGATTCCCCATAAGCCCCCGAAGAGATGGCTTGCAAGAGTATACTTCTCTGAATCATTAACTAGCTGCTCCACTTCAGCATCACTTGGTTCATTCCCTATAAGAGATGTTGAAAAATGCCATTTTAATTAGTGCACAAAATTGCAACCCCGGGTGGTAAGGATCCTTAACTGTGAAGAATTTACCTGAAGACATCAGATAGTTGTAGACGAATCTCCAGCGCTCACCCGGGTCTGTTAATCAAAACGTGATTAAGAACAGGCTAATTTTTAGACCTCAATATGCAGAACAAATTAATCAAGGCAGGATGTTGAAGAATAATGTCGAGGGCAACTTACCAGGGTAGACGCTATAATCCAGAACATGAGGTGTCTCAGCATTATAATTTGCTGCCATCTCGCAGAAGTGATTTGCAATGTCAAAAGCAACAGGATTGTAACTTGCATACTCATAATCCTGCAAAATCAGTCAGTAACAAAGAAGTTCAGAGAAAATGTTTCTTCTATGTCACAGTTCTGCAAATATTTTCTAACAAAGTGAACTAATTGGAGTTGTCCTTTTCATACGACAGAAAAAATGGAGTTACCCCAAAAAAGGTGCTTGCAAAAGTACAAATGTCATGTATGAGTATAGACTTACAATTAAGGTGACTGCTCTTGTTTCTTCATCCATCATTATGTTACCATACTGCAAATCATTGTGGCAAAAACCAATCTCTTGATGGTCACACGACAGCTCTTGCTCTAGCAACCTGATTTCATCTTCTAGAGTGTCCAATTGAAATTCTTTTGCATCTTCTGCAGAGTACAGCTTCTTGGCCAGACCAAGCCAGGCCCTGGAAACAAGTAAATCAACACACTGAATTACTTGCCTCCCAAATTCAATCCAATAAGAGGAAAATAAATCAGCACAACTTCAAATTACCATATCCATACCTCAATCTTTGCCAAAGAAAGACATCTTTGGGACCTGGTATCTCCAGACTGTGGAACTCCCTCATTTTAGCTGCTATAAGTGAAGAAATCTCCTGGTCTCGGAGGTCGGGAGCAGAAAGTGTCTGGTAAATTCAATCATTTGAAGAAATTGAGATCAAAACATGAAACATGACAAGAACTGATCCGAATTTCAGAAATAAGTGACATAATTTTGCCAAATTCAGAAGGGTTCATTCAGATTTTGACATACCCTGGCATGGATGAACTCCTCCACCCTTCCATCCTGGAACCGGCCGAGAAGTTTAGGCCCCTGGCCGTGCGTTGACATGCACTCAAAGGTCTTAATTTCATCATCCCTATTGAAGAAAAGCTCCACCCCTTCACCATAAACCCGAACCAGAACTTTCCGGTGAGGGTCGCCGTTCTTGGTCGGCCAGTTTATCTGGTAAACCTTGTTGGTCATAGCTCC